CAATTTGTAGCTAAACTCTACAGGACACCGGCCCTCCAGGACCGAGTTTGGACAGCCCTGGTTTAGAGATTATAAAAGCAATATTGTGACAATAAAAATACTATATATATATATATATATATATACATTCTTCTTTTTCTTCTTTAAGTATCAGTTTTTGCAATTATACCAGATACATCTGTGTGTGAGCATGAGCACACTAACATACGGCCTTATATATTTATTTATTGTGTGTGTGTGTGTGTGTGTGTGTGTGTTTTATTTGTGTCTCATGGCATTTAAATGAGGGGAACTTTTTTTCTTCTTAATTAACAATTTAATTTTAGGTTGTGACCCTGAACACTGCACAAGGATTAATAATAATAAACAAAAAATAAACTAATGTTATATATGCATATATTAAACTAGCATATTTTTTTCACTCACCACTATGTCTTTTTAGAATCGGAAAGAATCCTAGCCTTTGTTGACCTCTCTAGTATCTGCTTATAGCCTTAGAATTTATTTTTTCAAAATTAGGTTGCGAATGTCTGTGTCACGGAGACACCATCTACAACCACAGAATCAATCCAACTACTTCTCACTGGGAAATGAGCTTTGCATCATATGCATGCATGGTAGCCTATTGCTTAAAAATACACGTTCTGAGCATAGACGCTTTAACATATTCTTGTGATGCATAAAACCTCTAACTCATTAGGACTGTCTGTCTGTGTCACGGAGACACCATCTACAACCACAGAATCAATCACGCAACCCCGCCCTCAATCACCTGAGTACTGAGCACCTCATTATCACGCACTATAAGAGCACACTCACCACTCTGGTCTTAAAGTTACTCCTTCAATGTCTTTCTCTTCGGCTCTGCTAAAGGACTGTAACTTACCTGTGCTCTGCCCATCACCAAGATCTTTGTGTGCTCAGAGGACTGTGAACTGGAAACTGGGTGTTTCAGATAAGATTGTTCTCATGCACTCAGTCAGACAGTCTGTGTGTATGTGTGTATTAGGAATGATTAAGTCCTGCTAAAGTATTAATTAATTTCTAATTAATTACAAACAATTAGTTTTATTTTTTTTTAATCAAAAATAGAAAGTTGTGTGTGAGGGGTAGGTTTAAGGTAAGGGGATAGAAAGTAGTTTGTACAGTATAAAATCCATTACGCCTATGGAGAGTCCCCATAAAAAAACAGAAACGTGTGTTTCATTTTTATGTACTTTTTATGGACAATTAATTTTTTTTATGGACAATTAATCAGAATTGTCCTATTTATGTTAAGTTCAAATGTATTTTGAAAGTGTATATCATGCCAAAGTTTTGGTAATGGTGTCAAAACAGTTTTCTTAATTTTCTTACCATTGCTCAGCCTTTTGAAGGGCTGCGTACGTGTGTAGCATATTCAACTAAGCTGTCAGCTTGACTGCGTCATATCTGTCGACCGGCCAAAAAAAGAAAAAATATAAAGATTTTTTACAAATATTAAGGAAATTTCGATAAAATATAATAGTGATTTTATAGAGTTTTATCACTTACATTAATTAGCTGAATTGGAAATGAATGTGAGCCGGCTGCACCATCTCTTGCTGGGGGAACAGCAGCTCGAGACCTGTAACAAAGCGTCACTCGCACGCAATTTTGTAATGGTGTTTAGCGGCGTTTCAAATCGGATTATTCCGTCACATACAGAGAAAGCCCAGGGTAACATCTATGAAAACTGTGTGTAATTTACAAAATGTTTGCATATGTGTATTATGTATACGACGGTGTTAAAGACTCGGTTAATGTTAACGACATTAAACACTTTGATCCAAAAATACGACATTTCTCGTCGACTCAAGGCTACTGGATTCTGCGAAAAGGACGGTTCACAACAGGACAAATTTTATTCATGAAAGGTAAAGTATGAAATGAAGTATCTCAAAATGCAATATTTGTCTATGAAATGTTTAGAAGAACAGGTTACCAAACAATTCTGAGGACGTTTGAGGCCCAAGAAAATGCGCAGCTAAGCTAATCGGGCTAATTTTGTTTTTGCTGAGGTGGATGGATTATCTTGGCAAAGGAGAAGTGCTCACTAAATGTGCATCGTAGCCTGCGAGTCAATAGGTGTCATCATCGCACAGTCTACATACATGTCTTACCCAAGTTTATCAGAATCATGTTGCACACTGTGATTTGCAGTGATCTTATTGGATTGCTAAAATCGTGCAATGTGTAGAAGGCTTTAACTACGGCCATGTTCACACTGTCAGTTTTAAGGATGGACAACCGCATTTCCTTACAGGTGTGTCAAGCCTGTATATGCACACATCCTTTTCTGATTCTTGCGCATGCCACTGCATTTGAATCATGCACAGAACACAAAACTGATGGAAACTGCTCTAGTGGAGAACAGTGATTAGACCTAAAACCTTCAGATGACGCACAGCTAATTTCTCCGTCGCTGTAACTTACCCAGAGTGAAACCACACGAGCGGCTCTCTCGCGCTGTACTACAACTAGTTGTTCAGTTCATACAGCGCGTGTTTTCCGAGAGTGCGGTTTGAGTCCTGAAAATAGACAGGTGTGAGTTCAGTTATAGAAAGCGGTTGTCACCCCCTAAAAACTGTATTGTGTGAACATAACCATGTTAAGGACTCAAATACAGGACTGACAACCATATTCCGATGCTGTGTGAACGTGGCTGTACATTAACATATTTGGCAACTGGAAAAATCCAACTTTGCAGCAGTGATGATTTGAGTCTGTCATAACTTTCTACAAGCAAAGTGATCACACAAACGATTACAGCACTTTCAGAACCTTATTGTGTCGCTGTTCGTTTCCTATAATATACCTTAAGTACAACATTAACAGCATGGTAAATAAAAAAAGTAAGAATTTATATATATGTACATATATTTAATGTGTGTGTGTGAGAGAGTACTGTAAAACAGGAAAAAGTAAGCCTGTAATTTCAAAGTGAAGGTATATAATAAACCCTAAAGCACTTTTTTTCCCCTTCTTTGACAACCAACCAATGATAGTCTTTCCTCGCTCAGAGTTGCTCTCAGATTGGTCCTGAATCGCTCTTAAGCTAAGACTCTTGCGTAGAAATTTTAAAGCTAAATTAGGAGCTTTCTGAGAAGATTCTTAGAAGCTTTAAGAATACGGGCCCTGGGGATGTTAAACTCCGTTCCTGGAGGGCCACAGAGGGTAGCTCCAACTCTAATTGAACACACCTGAATCAAGGTCTTCATTACTTCGACTAAAGTTTGGAGCAGGTTGGATCTAAATTCTGCAGGACTGTGACCCACCACAAGCTGAGTTTGACAGTCCTGTTTTAGACATGAATAGCAGATTTGGGCCATTGATGCTTTCTGTTCTACATTGTTGCATTTAAACAAGGGTTAACTTGTATTTGTCTCTTTTCATCCTAGACCTGATGGCGCTGAAAGAGGAGCGTGAAGAACTGAATGAAATGCAAGATAAAGATCAGTGTAAGAAATATCATGATTCCATAACTGGACAAAAACCATTTAGTTGCTCACAGACTGAGAAGATTTGCTCACATAAAAGAGCTCAAAAGACTGAAACTAGAAGTAATTTCACCTGCAAGCAGTGTGGAAAGAGTTTCAATCAACAACGAAACCTTAAAGCCCACATGAGGGTCCACACTGGAGAGAAGCCTTTCACATGTAAACTGTGTGGAAATAGTTTA